TCCTCCGTGCCCCTCGGGGGGCTGTGGGGAAGCCGCAGCCCCGACTCTTGCTGGGGAGCATTCTGTTTCTCCTGTTTAGAGCCCAGTAGGACTTTTAATTTGTATCATTCAGATTCAGAAGGTTCTGCGGGACAGACTCTGGTCTTTTGATCCACAGGCTCCGACTTTTTTCAGCTCTGTGTAGACTGATTCCCAAGGAATCGACACCCATGGTTCATGTCGAGCTCTTATGTGTCTTTTTCCATTTCCCATCCCTGTGCTATTTTCAGAGATACTGGACCTGAGCTCTGCGGCAGTGACACCATGGGGCGTAGCAGTGACACTGTGGGGCACAGCAGTGACATGTGGGGTGCAGCAGTGACACCGCGGGGCACAGCAGTGACACATGGGGCGCAGCAGTGACACGTGGGGTGCAGCAGTGACACGTGGGGTGCAACAGTGACACGGGTGCAGCAGTGACACCATGGGGTGCAGCAGTGACACATGGGGTGCAGCAGTGACACGTGGGGCGCAGCAGTGACACGTGGGACGCAGCAGTGACGTGGGGTGCAGCAGTGACACATGGGGTTCAGCAGTGATACTGCGGGGCACAGCAGTGACACCATGGGGTGCAGCAGTAACACGTGGGGCGCAGGCCATGCTCCTCTCTCGTATCTCCTGCAAGTGTTCATCTGCTCATTCTTGCTCCCTTTCCTCGCTCAGCCCACTGCTGCGTCTCCCGCTGCCACGCAGCCTGAGCAACCACAATCTTGTTTCACAGGCAGCATATTTTCTTGCATTCTACATCAAGATGTAGCACATACAATTACTAAAATTTCCTCCAGCTTCTTTTAGTAAACTCTTACCCACAAAATACGCCTTTTCTCTGAATCCGCAGGGCAGGCTCCCCGCTGTCTCAGACTGTAGGATGACCTTGCGGCCCCATGGTGCTTTGGCTATTTCTCTTTCCAGTCTCTTATCCTCCAACGAGGAGTGTTCCCTGCGGACCACAAGGTTTCCAGTTCACGAGCTGGGTCCGGCCCCCCGTGGCTGGGCCCCTAGATGCTGACAGGCTCCTTCTTTTCCACATGAACCTTGAAGGCAGCACAGTGTGCACGGCCCCCAGAAAAACCCTGGGACTCTAGCAGGCTGCTGTCATGTGGGCACCTCCAGAACTGAAACAGGGTCTCCTAGATCCCATGTTTTGATGTTAAGACTGCAGGCCCAGCACGTACTTCTGCGTCATCATCAGCCTTCTGTGGTTGTTCTTGGTCCCCAATGCAGGGACACATGGTGGCCCATCTCTGGCGCAGGATGAGAGGAAGAGCATGTGACTCAGGACTGAGAGTGAGTCCTTCTGGCGTGGCCGTGCGACCTGACTGGAGCTTCTAGACTTCACGAGAGGAGGATGCCAAGTCTGGAGCTGCTGCAGCTATTTTGTGACCTGAGGACACCTATGTGCCCCTGCATCTGAGCAGGAGAAACACAGCCACACCAACAGGTTTCCATATAACTCTGTGATCCGAATCTGCAGTGGGACCCCCAAACTGCCAGCCATCGTGTTAACTTCCTGAGCCAATCCACTTCCTCGCCTCCCAGGTGACCATGTTACCCCTTCTCTTTCCGCCTTCTCCTACCTCAGCCTCGGTGATGACCGTGCTTGTTCCTTCCCCGAGAACACAGAGCAGTCAGAAGAGAGACTCCTGAGCCGGCACCTCTGTGCCCTCCTGTGCCTGGGTGAGTGGGCCCGGCTCCCGCTCACTCAGGACCCCACCTTGCTCACCTCTCGAGGACTTCTCTTGGGACGCCCCCTCCTTGATGTACTGTCTCTGCTACTCTATCCGCTTATCCCATCCACACACAGGCATCCTCGCAGAGCCATCCCCGACCTCACGTGCACCCACTGGCTGCCCCAGGTCTCTCTGCTCTGGAGTCAGGAAAATTCTAGAAAGCATTCTATGTGCACTCTCTAGATTCTCACATACGTGCCTTCCTTGGCCCACTCCAGGTAGGGTTTGTCCTCCTGCCCCTGAAGGACTCCGTCCCCTGGCTGTGCCCTCTGCTCACCACCTCCCCTTCCTGGCAGCCCCTGGGGTGCTGACACCCCTGCTTTGAAGCACCCTTCACTTCCCAGACACCACCAGGGCGCTGTCTCCTGCTGGGGACACTGGGCCACAGAGGGCCTCGGAGAGGTCCCATTGAGCCTGACTCATTTCTCTGTGCCTTGCTGTCCTTGTCTGTGGGATGGGGACTGTGGCATCTGTTTCACGGGGATGCTGCCAGCATGGTTTGTGGAGCTGCATGAGCCACACTGGAATTGGCACGTGCCAGAGACTTGGGGACACCATCATATTTGCAGTCAGCTCGTCTCCATTGCCACGGTGCTGGCATACATGGCCCCTTCAGCGTCCCTTCAGCCAGAACCATCGGATCATTGGTGGAGCTGAACATTTGGGCCATAATCATGGAAGCTGCAAACAACATGAATGTTCCTTTTTCTCAGTGCTGAGCCAGGGTGAGTTCTAGAATGGCTGCTGAAGCCCCATCTGCCAGCCGGGTACTGCCGGTGATTAACTACCTAATTATGCTGCTTTGCAAACGCCAGCAGATTATGAGCACACGTTATTAAAAATGCCCAGCTGGTGCACGTAGTGCCTAGAACTGGCAAGTCTCAGCCCACTAGACTGCAAAGCGCCACTGAGCCTTGTGGGCAGCAGGCTGTTGAAATGAGGTGTCCAGGGGAGCTGAGTGTGCTGAGGCCCAGGATGGCTGGGGATGGCCGTGCTGAGCCATCCCCACAGGGTCCTGTTGGAAACACAGAGCTTGGAGATCATTCCAGCAGCCTGTCTCGTCCGTTGTTTCCACAGCTAGTGAAACGCAGGTGCTCAGGGTCTGGGGGTGTGGCTGCCAGGGGCCTCCAGCCCCCGCCACGTAGTCAGGCTTTGGCTGGATCTGAGCCCTGGGCCTGTGGGCCTCTCCTCAGGCTGGTCCTGCCCAGCAGAGACCAGGACCTGCCCAGGACCAGCCCAGCTCCAATGAAGGACAGAGGGTGTTACCAGCACCCCAGCCCAAGTACCCAGGGGCCGCTGGGGGCTGGACAGGCTGGTGAGGGCGCAGTGCACTGTGGGGCGCTGTGGGGTGGCGGGAAAGGCCTGACTGGGCGGATGGGGACTGTAGGGATTCAGGAAGCCGGGTTGGCTGTGTCAGGAAGTGGGGACATGCTGACTAGGGACCAGGATAAATCCTACCTGGCGAGGGACTCCGTGAGGTAAAGGCGGGCAGTGGAGGGGCAGGCCCCACCCACCTGGCCAGGACGGGGCGCAAGGTCATGTGGTCAGTCTGTCTGCTCAGATGCGACTGTGGGTGGTTTTGTCCTGTCGGGGCTCCTCGCCACCCCAGAGTAGCCTGGCCGGGCGGTGGTGTCTGGAGACCCTGTTATGTGGGACAGGAGAACGCCCAGCCCACTGCATGCCTGGCCAGCTCTGCTTTCAGGGGCCACTCCGCCATTTCTCAGCTCAGTGGGGTCATTGGCCAAACACCCTCGACCCTGACGTTATAGGAATCCCCACCAAAACAAGTGCTGGTCTTGACATCAGTGGCAGCAAGACCACTTCCAGGAGACACCAGCTGGCCCAGGGCCTGGCTCCAGTTCAAAGGTGCATGAGGCTGGGGAAGGAGGCAGGAGGTGTGTGTGTGTGTGTGTGAAGTAGGCAGGTGTGTGTGTGTGTGTGTGAGAAGTAGGCAGGTGTGTGTGAAGTAGACAGGTATGTGTGGTGTGAAGTAGGCAGGTGTGTGTGTGTGAAGTAGGCAGGTGTGTGTGTGTGTGTGAAGTAGGCAGGTGTGTGTGTGTGTGAGAAGTAGGCAGGTGTGTGTGAAGTAGGCAGGTATGTGTGGTGTGAAGTAGGCAGGTGTGTGTGTGTGAAGTAGGCAGGTGTGTGTGTGTGTGTGTGTGAAGTAGGCAGGTGTGTGTGTGTGTGAGAAGTAGGCAGGTGTGTGTGAAGTAGGCAGGTATATGTGGTGTGAAGTAGGCAGGTGTGTATGTGTGAAGTAGGCAGGTGTGTGTGTGTGTGTGTGTGTGTGAGAAGTAGGCAGGTGTGTGTGTGTGTGTGTGAAGTAGGCAGGTTTGTGTGTGTGAAGTAGGCAGGTGTGTGTGTGTGTGTGTGTGAAGTAGGCAGGTGTGTGTGTG